CGGCGGTCAGGCCCGGGGCCCTCGTACCAGCTCCACCACGAATGGCCAGGGAGCACCACGGGGAAAGCAAGCGCCACCGCCAGGCCGCGACGCCGAGGGAGCGCCCCAGCCGGGAACACCGGCTGGAAGCGGGAGCGAGAAGGGACGAAGCCCGGGAAGCCTCAGCCCCCCCAACACTCCGCAGGGATGCAAGCCGCCGCCGGCGCCAGCCAGCGCTCCCCGCTGGGCGGGAAGCTCTCCTTCCCCAACCTTAATCTTATTGAGCACCCCGCTGCTCTCCAGCGTCTGCACCAGCAGGTCCCGCAGCTCCGTGTCCTCCTCCGCCGCCGCGGCCGCCATCTTGCTTCTCCCTGACAACCGCCCAAACCGCGCTAGCGGCGGAACGAGCTCGGCAGATTCGCCTCCGCAGCCGCCGGCGGCACTAGCCCAGAGCGGACCCCAGGGAGTGCGGCGGACCGGGCCAGCGGCCCCCCTCAACACCAGCCCGAGGGGGGACGCAGAGAGGCCGCAGCCATCCAGCGCCTCCGCCGCCCGCAGAGCCTGGAAAGTGCGGCGGCGAACGCGCAGCGTGGCCGCGGGCGGCGGGCGGGAAGTTCGAAGGGTGGCGGCGGTAACGGCTGAACTGGGCAGTCGCCCAGCTCCGTCAGCGGCCCCTCAGACCCTCCCTCCTTCCCGCCAGGCTCGAACCCAAGGAGCCATACGAGGAGTGACTGAGCCTGCTCAGCCCGGAGGAGAGTGAAGGGAGACCTCATCACAGTCTACAACTCCCTCACGAGGGGAAGAGGAGGGGCAGACACTGATCTCTCCTCTCTGGTGACCAGTGACAGGACCTGAGGGAATGGCCTGAAATTGTGTCAGGCGAAGTTTAGGTTGGATATTAGAGAAAGGTTCTTCACTGGAACAGGCTCCTCAGGGAAGTGGTCAGAGCACCAAGCCTTCCAGAGTTCAAGACGCGTTTGGGTGATACTCTCAGGCACGTGGTGTGACTCTTGGGGTGCCCTGTGCAGGGGCGGGAGTCGGACACAATCCTTGTGGGTCTCTTCCAACTCTGAATATTCTGTGATTCTGAACGCCAAACCAAGCCACCTTCACCCACACCCGCTGGCTACAGGTGCTCTGTATTTGGGTTTAAGGGGCGAACAGCTCCCGCTCCGGGGCAAGTGCAGTCCCTGGGCTCTGTAGATACCCCGGGCGGATCTCAGCCGCTGAGCCTGCCTGATCCGCCACACGCAAGGGCACCCGGTGCCGAATAGCATCAAAAGGGGGTTCTGGAGCCCTTGTTTTGTAACAAGCATGTTCGTTGTTGCTGCTTCAAATAAAAAGTATAAAGATCTGTGAATTGTAATGCTTAATCTGCAGCTCTACGTGTTGCATTTTGTCATGTGGAACTGTGCATGATTTTTCTTGGAGTCCAACATATGATAAATAATTTCATAAGTTAGGAATGCTCTAAGGGAGCAGGTACAGCTCCTGGGTGGGGCAGGGCGCAGCTGGAGGCTGCTTTTAAAAAGCGTGCACCGACTCTTTGGGGATGCCCTAAATACTCAGCCTAGCCTGGCCAGGCAGGTGTTCATTACTCTGCCCTGCTTCTGCTGAACCCACGGGAGGTACTGCTGGAGCTTTAAGTTCGTTCCCATAGCCAGCCAAAGAATATAGCACTGCAATTTTGAAGTCATGAAGTTTGGAAACATTAGCGGTCTTTGACTTCAGTACAAAATTGTGTTAAAGTATTACAAAATTGCACTTCTTAAGACAACAATCCTTTAGGTATAATTTTTCAAAACCGTGTCAGAAACAAATAATAAATGCATAAACATAACGTATGGCATTACAGTTATATTTTTTATTTGTCCACTAGATCTCCAAATTTAATGGAAAGACAAAACACACTTGACAAAATAATTGATATAGGTAAAGGAAAGCTAGAGCAAAGTTAAAAAAGGTCAGTAGACTTAGATTACAATTTGTAAAATTCACTTCAGCATTTCAGTTACAGTGGCTTCAAGTTCTCAAATACATGTAGAATATTTTGAATCCAGTTAACAGATAACCCCTTTCAAGTGCAAAATACCAGACTAATCCTTAGGTTAATATTCATCACCTTAAGGGCAGCAAACCACAGTTCAGCTTCCTATTGCAATGTAGCCTCAAGCTGTCTCACGTTTGAAGGAAGTGCTGCCATTTTGAATGTATGTAATTCCCAAGTCAACCCCTATGGAAATCATAGAAACACATTGCTACATGGGCTCTTAACACAATTTAAATGAAATTTAACCTTTCAAAAAATCATGCATGCACTAAATCTATTGACTTAAAATTCGGACATGAGAATATATATATATTTTGAAATGTGTGTATCTATCTGCTCAGAGTATCGTAAATGTTTTCTTAACACACTTTTAGGAAAAAAGTCTAACTGGATTTGTTTGTTCTATTTGTGCAATGGAAATAATCAAAGCAAAACAACACATTGTGTCAGGGAGACAAAATTTGAAAGTCTCTATCTGGATTCTTAAACCCTAATCTAAATGTAAACTGCTGAAAGGTGGAAAAATGTATTCTTCTGAAGTGTTTAATATAAAATCTTTAAGAAAGATGAATCATGCCAACCTCATTTTGGGTTGTTTGGGCTTTTTTCAAGGCCACACATTTCAGCATATAAACATACAGAAATCTAGGATACTACTACATTTGTTGAGAATTTTTTTGAGGAAAATGTTATTTTCATGAAATTTAAAAGAAACTTTTCAAATATTCTGACATTTCCTCATTTTTTCCACCACCTTCTAGTCACAGCATCATGATTGTTAATAGCCATCAGGAGATAAGCCAATAAAGAAATAAAAGATCATAGTACACAAATGAATATTAAATGGAAAGTCTTGAGGAGACAGTTGTCCAAAACAGCTTTCCATCGTCTTTCTCATATCTCTCAAAAACATTCTCTTTAATAACACGTGCACTATTTCATGATATTGTGACATAAAAATATGGTTTCCTTGTCCTAATACCTTAAGAGCATAGAGTATTCTAGCGTAGTTTTGGATCTCTCTCTGAAACCACATTAATGGGAAACTTGTCTTTGGGCTTAGTTTTCACCAAGTGCAGTGTTAATTTGGCAACCTCAGAGAGCAAATTCCCTATTGCACCTTGAAACACAATTAACACTGGAGTCCAAGACTTTGCAAGCTAGAATGCTTGTGCAGTACAGCCCACTCTTTTCACCTCCAGTCTGCAAAGATAAAATCAGGCTGAGTGTCCTTATCTACTGACTCTTCATGGGCAGTGACAAAGACTTCAGATGGAGCTGTAAGGTCCTCAGCAGCAGGAAGAGCAGTGCTGCATACAAGGATCTGGAAAGCTTCACTATTTTTAACTCTTCAACAAAATTTCTGAAACTTTTGATACCTATTAGACACTGTCAGAGACAACAGCAGATGGATCACTCATTCCATCCAGCAAAACATTTTCATGTTTGCACAGAAAGGTGGGCAAAGAGATTATTTTTGCCTCATCCTTCTTCTTACGGTGTAAATGTGTAAACATAGTTTAAAAATTTTACCAGTGAATCAACCTGAGACTTTGAACAAAGATTTTATTACAAAGACTGTAATTAATCTGTTTAAAACAAATGTTGTTTTGCTTGTGGAAGCAGATCTGCCCACATATTTCTCAAGTGCATTAATAGAGGATGGCTGTGACATATCCCCCCTAGTCCAAAACTATACAATTTGATTAACAATCACGCTTTTTATTTATGATTCACACATTGGCAGAGAAAGATAGACCAGAATATGTTTCATAGTTTACCATAGCGCTGAGAAAACAGTAAACCAAGTCCTGCCTGGAACATTTGTGACTCATCCCTTGGGGCTCCTTCCTTAGAAACTTGCTACTGTTTTCAAACACGAGTGTTAGCTTTTCAAACTTCCCTCACTATTTTGGAGAAGTGCGCCACAGACGCCCGTGTCAGCATTTCTCTGTTCCCCTTACTGGGCTTGCAATAGTCAGTAGAGTCCTCGTTGCACTCTCGAAGACCTGCGCCGCACAAATTCTCGGTAGGAAACCACTTACAATTAAAGCCTAGAATATGCTAAAGAAGAACCGACCAAAACAGCAAAACCACGCACATCGATTCTGTCTCTCCGCAGCCCCCCGGCGCTCCTGCCTTGCCCGCCCTCACATGGACCACGAGGATGCCGCGGGAATGCCACCGCCCCCCGGGTGCTCAGGCTGGGGGTCTGGAGCAGCGGGCAATCCCCACTCAGGCCGCCTGGAGCCGCCGCTGTGGCGGAGGGCGGTGCCGCTCCCTCCGCCCTCCCGCCCGCCTCGGGGCGGGGCTGTGCGCGGCGCGGAGAGCGGCCCGGGCGGCTCAGGCGGGCAGCCCAGGGCAGGAGCAGCGGGCGGAAGGTAACGCGGGCGGGGGGGGTCTCCGAGCAGGGCCACGCAGCGGGGGCTGAGGTGTGGTGAGGTCTGAACGCGAGGCAGCGAAGGTGGGATTTGAGAGTCCCCTGCCCGCCGTGGGGCTGCGTGGCCGTGGCAGCAGCCGGGCAGGAGCAGGTTGTGTTCGGCCCGCCCGAGGTGTGTCTGTGGAAGCCAGTGAGATTCTTACTTGCGCGAAGTTAGGTGGGACTTGCAGGCCTGGAACGGGCTCAAATCATGTTAGGTTTAGTTTTCTATGCCTTAAATTCCCTGTGTAGCACATCGGAAGTCAGCCAAAGGCATGGTAGCATTTCTCAGAGCTGGGAAGACTTAATAGTTCTTTTTACACTTGGCATTAGCTTTGGCATGCACCCGTCGTTTGCGGGCATCCCGCCTCCGGTGCTCGGGTGATTTGCATTTCTTACAATTTGGGAAAACGCCTCTGTAATGATCTACAGCAAGCTCTTATGGTGTCGGGAAGTTCCATCTCGTATCAGTGCCCCGAGCAGAGCAGTGTGTCAGTGTGGGAGGGAGGCGAGGTGGTGCCGCCCTCGGGACTTCCCCAGGAAGCCAGCCACTGAAACCACTGCGGCTCGAGTTCTGCCTTGAATTGTACTTTGCAAGAGAAGTAGCGAGGAAGTAATGCTAAAAAGCTTGCTGTGGCAGTGGACGTGAGTATTGCTTCTTTAAAGTGCTTTTTGTAGTTACTGAGGCTATCACTCGTGCTTGGGATGAATGGTTAGCTCGGAGTCGACTGTGAAAGTAAAACTTGCTGGAGCTAAGAGCATTGTTATAAATTAAATTAATGCTTCTGGTATACGGTGTTGTTACTTGGCTTGTCTGACTCGTTGTAGCAGAGGCAGTGCGCGTTGCCTTGTTTGGGAAGGCACCAAAACCTTGGGTGTTCATTTTTGGGCCTTTAGACTCTAGGCTAGCTGTCCTAGGTCTTATTGTGGACATTGTTGTCAACATTTAGCAGCGTCTGTGCTATCTGATAGCCATGGGAGTCCTCTGCTAATGCCTGAGTGCTCTTCTGCAGTCTCTTCTCTATTCTGGGTCTGTGTGCTGAATTAAAGTGTAGAGCTGGAAATTTTGTGTAAATTTGGGGTTTATTAGTCAAAATAGTTGCTAAAAGCAAAAAAAGAAAATACGGGAGTAGAATATAGGTGACTATTAAATCGCTAGTGTCCCAAAGAAGCATGTGCTATTTCAGTAGTCCCCTCAATATGGTATATTAGAATTCAAACTGTGGCGAATGTGTTAAAGAAAGATTTCCTCTGGTTCACTCTAGTCTTCTATAAGTCTGGGCAGATAACTTTGATAACAGCATGGAACAATGCTAACATAGCTGAAAGTGACCTTATCCTGACCGATTTGCTAAGAGGCACACAGACGTTTTGTGCATTCCTATTCCAGGTATAGTGAACCAAGTGTCATCCCATAGCTGTTCTTACTCTTTGGAATTTTATCCATAACGAACATGATTTGGTAGCCTAGTTCCAAATAATAATTTTTTATATGTGTGCAGGTTTCATTTTGAAGTTTTAAGTTTTCTTCATTATGAAGTCTTTTTGGAACATCACGACTTTTTTTTAAACTTTCATATATGAAATCCCAGTTTCTTATTAGAGAGGAATTGGTGTAAGAGTTGTTAAATTGATTCTTTCTTGTATATGTGCAATTACTAACCTAGTGCAATTTTTAGCAAACAGAAGCAATTTTTATTAAAAACGGATGTGCTTCATACAGCTTAGCTGTTAAGATAGTTTTAATTTGGATGTGTATTTCCTCAAATGTGCATCATTTGGGTGCTTTTCCGGTGAGATTGATGCACTTTTCACCTTTCACCATCAATGTCACAGTCCAGTAAAAGGTCAGCTTGAGTAAATCATTCAGTTTGTCATGATAGTTGTGGTAGCTGCAGTATTGTCTTCCGAGCTGAAACGTTAGAGTTTATTGCTTATCAGTGGAGAAAAAGGTAAAAGTTAGAGATTGGGGCTTTCAGCTTTGCTCACTGTCTCTGTAGTCCCTATGTTCTGGCTGCAGGGTGCAGAGCAATATGCAGAATAAATCAGCACATTCCACTGTTCTGATAGCAGCATTTTTTGAAGCCCCCTTTGTTCCAGGTCGTTTTTTGATCGAGTGTAAGAGTCCTATGAGAAAGGAGGGTAGTTGGCTTGATACTTTTTTCAACTTAGTCACTGGAAAAAAAGTTTCTGCCTGCCTGCCTGCCAACTTAACTCATACCAGTTTGCAAAAGAAATGGTATAATGCTTGCTGGTTTGTTTTGCTTTCATAATTATTTCCTTAAGGTGTTTCCACACCTATGTACAATGCAGCCTTTTTTGGTGATGTGTGGCATTACTGTCTGTTAAGTGGTACTTTCTGCTTTTTATAGGTAGGGCAGAATCTTACATGAATCTCACAGAATCTTACACTCCTTACATCTCTCAGTGTTTTATCTTGGGTACATAATTTATCATGCAGAAATGTAGTCTTGCTTGGTTGGTTTTTGGTCAAAAATAATAGTAGATGAAATCATTTAACAGGTCTATAAGGGAGAATCTCACGTCATTAATTCCTGCGGTTCAAGTGATGTGAGTGGAGATCACTTAAAATGCAGAACTCTTGGGGAAATTGGATACACAGCAGTTAATTACTTATTTGTGACTTTTTTTTATACACTGTGTGAGTATAGGAATTTCTTTAATATAACATATATGTCTTGCTTCGGTGAGCTTTTGATAAAGATCAGTTCTACATTATTGAGTGCTTTGCTCTACAAGTAGCACACTCCAAATGATCAGAAAATTAAAAGTTGGCAACTAACATTTATCTTCTAATATCTTCTATTAGGCTAAGTACCTAGATAATGTATTCATTACAAATTAGAGAGGCATTAATATATGAAATAGAAGAACGTCTTAAAAAGTGTTAGTTTCTTCACAATTTAGCAAAACCTGCTGATAAATTTAGCTGGTTAGTCGTTATTCCTTGTTGCCCAAACCCCTCACGGAGTTTTGAAATCTCCACACATTTTGCAAGCTGGGAGGCTGCCTCACTGATTTCAGCTCAGCCATGACTTTTGAGGAACTGCAGGGTGGGGCTTGTGAGGGGCCTGCAAGCTGGGTCCAGAGCCATGCAATAACGGTGAGAAAATGGACTCTTGTTTATAATGAGCTGTGCATCCGAATTACACGGAGTTTTCTTAAGTTAGCTTTAATGGCTGAATCAGCAATGTCTTCACTGGTGTCAAAACAGGCTTTATTTGACTATTATATGGATGAATTAAAAAAACCTTCATAGAAAAAAGAATATGACTTGTGTAGTGAGTGGTCTTAGAAGGGTCCACCTAAATTACATGCAGTGTCTTGTAGTGCTTTATTTTAAGGTTCTTGTTTTGAGAAGGTTGGAAAGTAGGTTTGGTGAGGCTTTAATAACTGCATGTAAATATACACATGCACATCTGTTTCTAGGAGGTAGCACTGGAAATGCTGTGAAATATCTGGCAGATACAGGAGACGGTTGGGGTTTTTTGACATGTGCCAAGTGAAAGTCCTTCTACTGGTGAAGATTAAGTTGATTTTTTTTATCCCCTGATTTTTAAGGTCCATTAGTAGGCAAATTGTGCATGGTTTCATAGAGGCTATGGCAGATTTATAATAAGAACAGAAACTAATCTAGTTTTAGCAGAAATTTTTTTTAATACTTGTTTAGTAGTCAACTGGCATTTGGAGAGAATTTGGACATCATCTTTGGCTTCCTGTATGTTTCTAAGATCAACCTTTTTCAATCCAACATGAATATTCAATATTAAGTTCAAAATTTCTTTAATGAATCACTTCAGGCATTTAAGCTGACCACAAGTAGAGTCTTAAATTAAAATGCAGTTGTGTAAAAGATTTATGTATTTCCATTTATTGGAAGGTGGCTCTCTTGGCACTGTATGCAAGTAAAGGAAAAAAAAAAGAAATTATGATCTCAACCTTGATGCCATTAGTTTATGAAAATTAGCATACAAGCTGGGGAATCAGGCACAACCTTCAAAGAGATACCCTCAGGCACATGGTGTGACTCTTGGTGATCCTGTGCAGGGCTAGGAGTTGGACGTGATGATCCTTGTGGGTTCCTTCCAACTTGGCATATTCTGTGATTCTGTGTGAATCTGTGAAATCCTCATTTTACCCATGGTTGTAAATCTAGCATAGAGTTACCCTGTTGCCTGGTGTTTCTGAGATAGTAGTGTTTTTCTGCATTTTGACTTGTAAGTGCATTGGATAAGTAACAGATTTCTTCTTTTAACACCTTTTTACAGCTATCTGATTAACAAAATGAAACCTGCAAAGCTGCACTGTTGGATTCTGGGTTGGTTTTCTATGGCACTATGTTGTTGGTGTACTTCAGATAAATTCACTCAAAGGTAAGTTATGCTTTAAAAAGAAGTGTCTGACAGCTCATTCTTAAGTGCAGATCACAGTGGTTTAACTTCTAATGAGGTAAACTTTCTTATTATGTGCTATTTTTGGTGCGTTATTCTTCTGCTAAGTGACTGTTAAAATGAGGCGTCTGCATTAACTGGAGGAGCAGGGATCATGCCTAAGAAAACCTTTACATTTATTAATGTGCCAGCATGAAAAAAGAGGGAAACTTAAATTACATTTGTTGCACTTAAAACTTGTGCAATCTTGTTTTAAACAAGTCATTTAGACTTGTGGTGTAGTAATGGCAAAAATCGGAAATAATTCTGAAACCTATAACAAAAAAACTGTGATCATCCCTATGGCATGAACTGTTTCATTATATATCTTTTTTTCTTCCTTGCTCATTTCTCTGTTCCAGTAATTTAAAATTCCTTTTCATATGGCATCCCAACTGGGGCTGGATCAATGCTGCACAGCCTTTTGGTGGTTGCTGCACTTAGCAAAATCTGAGTTTTAATACCAGTGGGCCACACCCCAAATCACAGCCTTCTATGGTAAAAGCTCAAATTCCTATTGCATTATATGAGGAAATAAACTTTTTGCCTTCTTTTCAAAGCTTTGGCAAAAGAATGGTTAAGGGTGCCTAGATCAGTGCTGAACTTCATATAATAGCTGCAATGCCCCTGATTGGTAGCTTAGACACTGTGCTGCTGTTCCCTGAATCGCCAGGGCTTAGGCTGTGGCTTGGCATCTTGGCGACAGGAGCAGTTCTAGAAGCACGTTCCTGAGCTGCGCTGGATAACTCGGGTCAAAAGAAAGGGAAATACCTCTGAAGCTGGATAGGTATTGAAAATGGCTTTCCTTGGATTCCAGTTCTGAGCTTAAGTTTCTAAAACTTGCTTTGTTTAGTAAGTACAGTTTTCTGACCTATCTTTAGCCAAAATGTGTGTTCTAGGAGAACTTGTTTTGGCATGAGTAACATTGCAGAAGTTCAGCTGCTATTTCAAGGACAGATGAAAGATCTTTCCTAAGGAAGGATTTTTTTTGAGCAAGGAAACAAACTGCTCTGCAATATAGAGGAATTCTTCTATTCAAGTTTGCACAGCAACAGTAAAGACCCAGAGAGAAGTGTTAATAGTTTTCATTGTGGCTCTGCCTGGTCAGAGCTATTCTCCTAAATTAAAAAATGTAAATACATGTGAATGCTTAAGAGAAAATGTGTCCATTGCAAAGTAGAAAAACCAGACGAAAAAAATTGAGAAGTGATGGAACACGGGATGCTCCCTACTTTTTCAGGTTAAGAAGTAACCTCCCCCTTTTTTATTTTTTTTTTTTGTAGTATAACCTCTGGCAAGAACTGATGACAGACATGTGACTATTAGCTTCCAGAGAATAACAATTTATTTTGACAGTTCTGTACATAATGCTGTCAGTTTGAACAATTTACAGTTCTGTTGATTTTTTCTCATTTGCTGTTTAATCACTTTGTGTGGTTGCTTAATAGCTAAATCTATTTGCTCTAGTATCTGATGCAACAGGCTTTTTATTTACTTCTAGTTTAACCAGAATAAGTCTGCTCCAAACTGTTGGAAAATACCTCTGTAGAAGTGTCATGATATAGGCTTCCAACACTTTTTGAACTAATTTTTGAAGGGGTTTTTTTTTACCTCTGCATAGGAATAAGATAGTACTGGTGCCTCTGTGAGTTATAGATCTCTTATTCTAAGAGGTTTTGAAACAGATATGCTCTTGTAAAATACACAGTAATCCTTTGGTTCTTCCTCAGGCAACCTAACCTTAAGACTTTGTCATAGTTTGATCATTTGTTAAATGTTGAAAAATTACTTAATTTTTAGTAAGCATTTAAAAAAGGTACTGTGTGAATTAAGTATCTATAAACTGAGAAAGTCAACATTTTTGAGATTTATGGTTTGTACTTTGCCTTTTATTCTGTTTTTTTGGGGGGTTTTTTAATCTAAAAGTTGGGAGATGCAAGACCCAGTTGCATCTCCTGTAGTGTCAACTGCATTATTTGTGGTTGGTTGTAATCTTTCTTTTCTATAAGAGTAGTTACAGTTCCAAGAAGGCTGTACACTTTTTTTTCCCCAGATAATATGCTTATCAAGAAGAACTAGAAGATTCTTAATATCCTTAAAAAAGACACCTTTTTTAGAAAGTATTAATTATTGTTGTAAAAGTGTGCCAGTAAGTGCTCTCCTAAATATAAAACAGAACAATGTATTTCTTCTATATTTAGGAAATGGAAAACATATGGACATAGAGTGCCAGAAGGATAATTTGTTTAACAATGGGGGGGTATTAGCAGGTTTCTAGTTATAATGTTTCTCTGTGCTTTGTTAGTTTGAAGTTCTTTTTAAAATGCTTGAGGAAGAATAAATTTGTCTTTCTCCAGTGACAACCACCCTCATACCTGGAAAAAGCTTTATCTTGCTCATCATTGGCCAGTGACTGTATGTAAGGTGAGATTTTTTGTAGTTTATTCTCTTTTATCCTAACAAAGGTAGCCTTGGACAATAAATGTGTGAAAATAGAATTAATAAAGCCCATTAAGCCTTTAATCTTGGTTTTGCCCTTATATCTTTATAAAGGCTTTGGCTGATCTTGATGCAACTCATGCTACTTCCCCTGCCCTCCAGAGCAACTCTAAACAGGACAAGGTTGTGGTGCTTTACAGATACAGTAGTGAGTGTAGGACATACTGCACGCTAAGCTTGTTAAATAATTTGTTAGTCGTAAAGTTAATCCCAGATTTTCACCAGACCATAAGAAGACTTGCCTGCCTTGTTTGACTGAAGACAACAGACCAGTACATGAACTGTCTGCTGCACAATAAGTTTTTTACCTTTGTAGTGCAGGCTCCAGTATGTCAATTATGTCATCAAATATTGATTCGGTCAGGAAAAAGAGAGCTATAAAGCTGTTGTGGCAGGTGTCTCTGAGTTTTTCTGTATTTGAGGGGTGGGAAGCAAAAATGAACTCAACCCTCCAAAATATGTCTGTCAAAAGGACTGCTAAGAGGTCTACTACTTGTGTCCCTTCTGCTGTTAAATGCCTATTACTATCTGATAAGTAGAACACTTTTCCTGTGCTGGAAATACTCAGAGGCCTCTTCTCACACAGTGAAGTTAAAAATATGCAATACTTCTAAATGAAAGACATGATCAGATTTACTGATCACAGTAAATGACACAACGATAATGAACTTTGTGGATAATGGAGGTGCTTCAGTTTCAGACAAATGTCTCTGGAGCCAAAAAGGTGTCTTCAGCTTATTACTATATTAGTCTTATTTTTTGTGGTACTTTTTGTACTTTTTTATTTCTCATTCCTATTTCTGGAAATACATATGAAAGCAGTAGCAGCAAAAGTCACAAGCTGCCAAATATCTAAGGAAAAGTAGATGTACTTTACATTACTTAAATGTGGAGGGCAAGTATCAGCAACAAAACTCAGATGTGCATGACTGATTGAGGCCAAGGACCAAGGCCAGTGTTCTTTTTATTTTTTGCTTGCCTGTTTTTGAGGGGAAATAAGGACTGATTTGATGCAATATGTGTCTTATTTTCCATTGATTAAACATCATTTTTACTGACTTCAAGCAGAGATGTGTTCAAGAGTTTATAGTGCCTGGCACAAGTGGGTGCTCAGTCAGTAGCAGTGCAAACCCTTGCTTACATGAATGAGATGCGAACAATTAAAAAAAAAAATCAAATTAAGACACAAACCAACCAACGAATCAAACCTCTACCAACCAGTTTTCCCACTATATATTTATGCTGGCTACTCCTCTTAATTCTTGCGTGGTGCTATTGGTAAATTGACAAATAACGTTTATAACCTTCCGGTGAATTTATAATGAATAATTAAAGATATTGAGCATCAGAAAGTGTAGGCATTCTTCCACTTGGTTGATTCCTTATGATCTTCTGTAGTAAGAGGTAAACAGAACCATTCAAAGAAGTGAAGAAAAAGTGAAATTAAAATAATTGTGAGGTTTTTTCCCAGTTTTACATCACTGAGTCTTATGAAGAAACAGAATCTCAATTGTAGTCCCATAACAGCTTTTTTTGTTACATAAAAGCAGTTCCTAAATCCAGCTGTGGGCCTTTTTTTTTTTTTTTTTTAGGAATGTAGATCCTTCTGCATATTTGGTGTATTTATATATGATAACTGTTTTGTTTCATGGAGTAAATATTTTTACTGTCATAACTTATTAGTTTATGCTTCCTGTATAAAGGAATCTGATTATAGACTCTTTCCTACATAGTATGTACTTGAGAGGATAAACACATGAAAGGTTTTAACTTATCAGCTTGCGCTAGAAATGTGTTCAACAAGAAGTAAATTTGTTTTATTTCCCTCCTCCTAAATTTTTTCAGCAACCTTAGGTTCATTCGTTGGTTTATTTTACCCATGGGGGTGGGGAGAAGGGGGAAGGGGAATAATTACACACTCTTTGGGGGAGAGAAATTGAAGAGGTAAGCTCTCTCCACAGTTTCAAAAGCAAGGATTTTTCATAGCAGTTGTGATGTATCATTACAAAACAACACTTAAAATTTATCTTCATTAAACAGATGGCTTAGTTAAGAAGGGTGGTTGGAAGGGAGAGCAGGATTAAATATTTCACTTCCCAGAAGCTTACTTTTTATTTAAACTTGGTGTATCCACGTGATCCAGTAGCACTACTCTGTTGTCTGTACAAGGTTCTGTACCAAGGGACTTGTAACTGGGGCAGCTCAACAGGTAACACTTCTGTGACAGTTTGATGGGTCTTCACTTTTTTGGCATTTCAGAGGTGAAAAAAGCTTCCACGCTTCTGGCACATGCTGTTTGTGCAATGTCTTGCTGTTACAAATAGGCTAAGCTCTCTGCTGCAATATTCCCTCTCGGCATGGTGGGTGCTTTAAAGTTTTACTGGCACTTTTCTCAGTTTTATAGATCATGTATAGTTAATTTGCATTTTTTTGATTATCATACTATTTTAAAACAGGAGAAAACAATGTTCCTTTTTCAAATTAATCTAGATATATAAGGCTTTCTGGGGTCCAATATTTCTGTGAAAATACATATTTGTGCCCTTGTTTCAAGTCAGCGGTTGCCTGAGTTTGAATTAATCCTCCAGCAATCAGTCCATGATAAACAGGAAGGCTGTCAAGAAGTGTTTTTGCAGAAGCAGGCAGTGGTAGCTAGCTTTTCAGACTAGCATTTGCTTGATTTATGATATTGATTTAAAATTAACATTGGAAAAATACTAAGGCTAGAATTATCAAGAAGGATGAATGAAGCTGGCCAAAGCGTGTGAGGCATGAACTGATGTGTTTTAGGTTGCATTGACCGCTCAGTTCTGCCAACACATAGGGTAACACCAAGAGCCTGATGAAATGTGTTGGAGAAACTGCTAATGAGTGCCTGAATAGGGGAGAACTAATTCCAGAATTAAAATACTCTGAGTTTTCCATTAGCATGAAAGACCTGAGAAAGGCAGTTAAAGATTGGATAAGGAGTACAATTGAACTGTTCTTGTTGCCATCCTCAGCTGAGCAGGCCACTGGCTATTAATGTGCTGTATTTTGGGCTAGATAGCCAAACTCTTTCAGCTCCACAAAGCTTGTGTCATGACAGGAGCAATATTGTTTAGGAGTTTGCAATATGTGTTTGTTCAAAATACTTCTTTCAGGAAAAAAAGCTGTTGCTGGGTTTAATTGCTTCTGTTGTTGGTGGCAAGAGAGGAGAGGAAAGAAATGGACGCAGAACAAGACAGTCTTGCAGAGCTTGCATATTTGCTGCCACTGGCCTCTGGCATGTGGAAGGCAATTAGTGAGATTACAGGCCTGTCTTTGCTCTTCACTGCACTCTGCTCTTTCTCTGGCATCTCATAAAAGGCATTGTGGCATAATTAAGACAGGATGCAGAGCCAAAAAGGAAACCTATTATTATGGGGAAAGAAACTCTGAGGAGGTTGTTAGTTAATGGCAGAAAATGTTTACCAAAAAGAGCCATAATTACTAAGCAGAATAATCAGGGAAAATACAGTAATGGTATTTTATGATGTTTGAAGTTCAATTTTTTTGTTTTGTTTTGTTCAGGAATATGTCTCTGCTCTAAACAATAGTTAATGTGTAGGCTATTTCTCATATATTATCAACAGTTTTGATTAGGGGCTTTTTGTTTGTTTGTTTTTGTAGGAATGAATATAGTCTTTCCTCTTCTCTCTATTCTCTTGTCCCTGAAGTCAAAATATTTAAAAAATAAATTCTAGCCATTTTACTAGGAATAAACAACCTATTTAATCTCTTTGTTGTATTTTTTCTCTTAATATAAAAATAAAAATAATCCTGAATGCTTAAAGAAGGTTCTGTGCTTGTCTAATGTATTTTATTTTGGTAGTTTTTATTTTAATGGCTCTGCACTTCTTGAAAAGATCTGGTGATAAGAAAAATACAGGGAGCTGCCACCTGGAATATGATAAATGCAGATAAAGCTCCATTAATTTAGCATGGATCAGGCTATTCTCTATTACCTCAGAACTGTCCTTTGTCCTTCTATCCTGAAGTGTGTGTTCAGGATATCTCCTGGTATTCATTTGATCTGCTTCAAAATTTTCATGCCAGTTTGTCTCTGCTAAGTGGCATAATCTATGACAGCTTCAAGTAACTGGGGTGCACCAGTTTCTTGTATGTAAAAGTTAAATAGTAAGAGTTCTCATGTCTCACTAGAACCTTGGACCATCAGTGAATGAGGTTTTGTTTTTTCCCTCTAAACCAGTGGACACATACAACAAATATTCTGTATTTTTGTTTTCTACAGATGACTGCTAATGATTGTCAAGACCCTCCAAAGTACTGGACAATCCATGGACTGTGGTATGATCATAGGATGTTTTTATTTCAGCTGGGAAAAGAAAAATCAAATCTTGTACCAGGATGTTTGGTGGCTTGGGGTTTTGGTTTGGTTTTGTTTGTTTGTTTTTGTCTTAATCTGTCTGTTCTTATGATTCCTTAAAACAAAATCAAAACCCTGTGGTTTGACATAAAACTGAAATACACTTCTGTATCTCATGACTTGCTGAGCTTCTGAAATCCTCTTGCCACATGAGTATTTTATTTATACATCTCCTTATAAGATTGGTAGTATTCTCAACCAGAAAGGGAAGTATAGTTTACCCTTTTTTTTTTTCTGAGTACACAGAATTTGTTAATATCTCATGACTGCTTGTGGCTTTAATTGTCTTAACTCAGTACAAGTATTGCAAAAGTATAGGAAAAACCAATTTGTTTTAAAGGAATCAACTCACTGGAATTGGTGCCAATGGCAGCAATTCAAAAGTTTTCCTGACAAATACACATAAAAAATCAGTACAGAAGTTTGTTAAGCTATGCCTCCTGGAAAAGTGAACAGCATTTATGACTAGATTACCTGTGGGAGTCTTGGTGATACTGCAGAAGCATCAGTTGGTGCAGCAGTTGAGGAGGTCAGTGCTGTTAGTGCCACCAGTGACATCATGTGCAAGGTCCCTCCATATCATTGACACACCAATTTGACTTTTACACTGAATGAGAGGGACTGGAAGGCCAAAGAAAGAACTTTGTCATGAGAAATCTTTTGGTCGTAATTAACATCCTGAATATAGATTCTGATGGGTTACTTGCATTTTTAAGTAAATTCTCCAGCTGTAATCCTGCATATTTAAAATTCCCGCCAATGATACAAAATAGAATGCTATTAGTTACATTTAGTGAGTAAGGAGACATCTTTTTCCACTTTTTTATTTTTTGCTTCCCCAGGCCTGACAAAGGTGAAGACTGTAATAGGACATGGCATTTCAATGTCACTGAGATTAAGGTATGTATTTAAAACAAAAAGACATACCAAGCAGAGCTGACTGCAATTACTTTTGCACATCCTACATGCAAAATCTGTAGCTTATAACATTTCACTTTTAATGTTTGCTGAGAGGTATGTTTTTTTTTAAGGACTCCAGAAATTCATTAGGTGCTTCTGGTACAACTTGAAGTTGCAGTGCTTGTGATCATTAGCAGCTGTGCCTACTTGGATTTTGTGGACATGTGGTTTGACTCATTCAGCCATATCCTCTTATCCACATACACGGTGGATCTGCAGTGGCAAAAAGTACCTGTGAAAGAGGTTACAGTCAGTTGATGATCTCTCTTTACATTTTCTACGGCGCAGCCAGAACTCAGAAAATAAAAGAGTTAAGAGTACAGTGTTCTGTGTGTTTTCTCCTAGGGCATTAGTCCTTTTAGGTTCTTTTTCTGATTAAAAAAATCCATATTTCACTCACATGTTGTAAACAGGGATAAGAGATTTGAGCTCACAAATGTGAAAAGCTGCATGTTTGAACAACTTCTGCAGGGACAGTTGAAGGAAAATCTCTACTTTGAGGCAGCGTGTCAGTATAAGTGCATTCAGATATTTAGGTAGGTGTATCAATCTGTTGTTTCCCCCAACAGCATTTTCAGAATACTGGGGAAAAGGACCTTTTTCTGCACTAAATGTTTCAGTTGGGGATGTCAAAAGATGAGGCTTCAGTTATAGAAAATGTATTAATGTATGTAGCTTGTGTAAGACATAGCTGTTCAACACTGTAGGTGCATTTATTAATTCTGATTTTTTTTAGGATCTTATGTCAGACATGAGACAGTATTGGCCCGATGTGCTTCATTCGTCTCTGAATCGCACCCAGTTCTGGTGAGTATAAAAAAACAAACCTAAAAAACATTTTGGATATTATTTTATAAAAAATCCATTTGAGTAGTTCTTCAGGTGAGATGTGTGTGAGAAACAGTGTCCAGGAGGCAGTGTGTCTTGTCAGTCTCATTTAGTATGTAAATCTTTTCTCTTGTAAAATGCAGCTGTTGAAGAGAGGGCTCTGGCAGAGGTTTTGGAGAAATGAAACTTAGTGAGGAAATGTTTCCTCCCTTTGTCCCCAGGGAAGAGAAACAGGTGCTGTCAACACAATAAATCTGAATAGCAGTAGCACTCTGGGATGTCACAGCTAGCTGCAGGAAGAGCTTCCAGGTCTCTTTTCCTAGCTAGATTCACTGTGTTGCTAGCCTTGAGAGAGGTTTCCTCTTAGGCTTCCTCACAGAGGAGGAAATAGAAAAATAGAATGCACTGTATCATCCTAGCCACATCCCTACAGAATTCTCTCTTTTTACTTACTTTCCTAGCAGCCTAAAATCAGAGCTCGGGATTTATTTAGAGATAACCCTGCTTGACTCATGGGAAGGGAGAAGGAGATTTTGATCTCCTTTGACAACAGTACTCTTTTCCTTTTCTGCTGTTTTTCTCTTGGCTTCTGAATAATCAGGCACTTGGACCAGAGAGTAGTATTGGTGTATTTTAGTTCGCACAGGCTTTGGTTCGAGCGCACTGTTTTAAACTAAAATCATCAGCCATGCAAGTGAATTTGCTGAGCCATGAGCTGCACCAGCCAAGGTATAGATGTGCAATTTGTTTTTCCAGATCTACAGTGAAAGTGGTAACATCAGATAAGAAGCAGAGCAAATAGCTAGAGGCCATAGCATTTAAAGCCATCTCAACCAGAAGTGCCTGTAAGTTTTCCGTTTAATTGGATGACTGCTTTTTCCCTGTGTCACTAGGGAAAAGCTTTGAAGGGAACATGCAGTTCTTCTAGTGTTGTCTTTGCTCTACAGAAGACACTTGTCCTCAGAGTCTTAAACTAGTCCTAGAAGTGTCTTATGGCAACCTAAAGTTGCAGCTGTCAAAAGTGGTGGTCTCACTTTTTCCTCCCTCCAGTCCTCTCTTCTTACACTGTGCTGGGGAGAGAATGACTCCTGGGTGGTAGCACAGATTTATGCCACTTTAAACTGTTCCTGGAATTAGAATAAGAAAAATGTGTTGTAAATCTAGCACCTCCTGTGCCCGGACCACCTACCTGTTCATAAAACCGTGTGCATACCAGTCCTTATTTTATTATCAAAGTACATTGGTAGGCACAGCAGAAGGACTCCTTAGGTGGTATATTCTGCAAGACACGATTCTTTCTGTGTTGTCTTTTGTCCTCGAGAGTGATCCTGCCTGCGTTCTCAAAGGGAAAAGCAGCATTATAGATGACGTGTCTCCAGGCCTCCCGATTTGAGGCCAGAGTAGACCAGTTATGTTGAGCCTTTTGCAGTCGGACATGTCTATCTCGTATTGGCCTCATTAGACACCAGCATGCTTGTAACAAATGTGGACAGAGCCTTCCTGAATCTTCATTCGCGAAGCCCAGCCATGATGAACATTGGTAGGCAGCTGCTGTGAACAGGCGCAGTCAAAACTTTTTCTCTTTCAGTTCAAGGCTAGCAAATAACACTTATTTCAATACCTGGAAGTAGAATTAGAAATAGAGAAGTCGGGTTCTAACACTGTAACTAATATTTTGATTGACAGAGTAATTCTCTCCCTATCAGAAGTGCACTGTAATTGGAAGCTGTAACTGCAGATTTTCTAAATGCAAGCTTTTAAGACAACTGAAAACCAGTAAGGGCCCATTGTACATCTCTCTTCAGTTAAAATACTATATTTACTTAGAAATTAAAAAAAAAAAGAACTAAAACAACTTTGTAGTGTAAACTGTAGTATATACTGTAGTCAGCACTGGTGAGCCACACCTCGAGTACTGTGTCCAGTTCTGGGCCCCTCAGTTCAGGAAGGATATTGAGGTGCTGGAGCAGGTCCAGAGAAGAGCAACGAGGCTGGTGAAGGAACTCGGAACACAAGTCCTGTGAGGAGAGGCTGAGGGAACTGGGGTTGTTCAGCCTGGAGAAGAGGAGGCTCAGGGCTGAGACCTCATCACTCTCTACAACTACCTGAAAGGAGATTGTAGCCAGGTGGGGGTTGGTCTCTTCTCCCAGCCAACTATCAGTAAGACAAGAGGGCATGGTCTTAAGCTATGCCAGGGGAGGTTTAGGTTAGATATTAGGAAGAATTTCTTTACAGACAGGGTAATCGGGCATTGGAATGGGCTGCCCAGGGAAGTGGTGGATTCTCCGTCCCTGGAGGTTTTTAAGACAAGACTGGATGTGGCACTTAGTGCCATGGTCTAGTAACCACGGTGGTAGTGGATCAAGGGTTGGACTTGATGATCTTGGAGGTCCCTTCCAACCCAGCTGATTCTATGATTCTATGATACCTGCTACAGTAGGAATGAGAATCTGAAAGTAAAACTGACTATTCATGATTTTCATTATTGTAAACTAAAGTCATCTTAATTGGGTAAAGGCCATGAGCAGTGACAAGCAAAAAGGGTATTGAATATCTTAGCATATCATATCAGGGTTTTCCCATGACTGCTGTAATTGTGTAATATGTTTCTTCCTGACTTTGCCTCTGACTGCAGCCATGGCTTAAAAGGGGAGGTAAGGAATCTTCATGGTGATTTGAGGATGGCTGTGGGTACTTCTATAAGGGTAATGGCACATCTCTGTTCACCTTAACTTACAAACTGTGAAAATTGTCATCCAAGAGTTTGAATTGGACAGGATAAAATGCCTTAATATAGGACAAAGACTAATATGTGCTTTGTATCTCAAAAGTAATTAACTGAAACCATCCCTTATATGGTAGTTAATATTTTTTGGACCAAATAAAAATTTCTAGAGCAAGAGAATTCCTTTCAGGATGGTTTATATTTATACATATGGTATAGAAGAAGGAATCTGTGTTTAACCTGTAGGACAGCTGGGTGTCCCCAGTCTTTTAGATTTTGTGGGCAGCACTTGTAGCTGTGTTTTACACATCTTCTTTGTTTCTACCCTAATAATGAGCCAGTCTTCAAGCTGGATGGTTTCTCTAATCCTTGGACCCACCTGATATGCTCCTGACTTTGTCACATCTGCATGACTTTGTTCTTTGTGGAGCTCTGTCCTTGTTGTACAAAACAGGAAACAAAATCTCTTTGAAGTTTGTCTTCTTTTCCACACAGCTGAGTTGTACCAGTTTCATTCCTTTGTACTTCTGCAGCTCTCTGAGACTTAATTTGTAGGACTTTATCTCCGAGGTATGCAAGTGTAACATTTATTCTTAGCAGCACCATAGAGAAAATATGGTAACATAGTGGAACCCATTCTAGTGCTGTAAGCCCCACTGCTGTGTACCTGCCATAGCACCTGTGTCCTACAGGGAGGAAAAATGTTCCATGAAGTTACTGACAGTAGGCATATGTACTCTGTATGACTGCCTATCTCACAGGCACAAGCGTTGTGGAAGGATAGTGGCCTTTGTGAACACTGGTAGCTGTGTTCTGTGTCCACATGCCACCCAGCCATGAGCTGAGGCTCAAGTAGAATTAGCTTGTCTTACTGTGGTCTAGGTGCGTCTCAGTGAGTAACATTGAGACATTAATTCTTCTGATTTCTAAACAAACTATTTTATGTTATTCCCTGGTACCTGCAGCTCCTTCATTTCCTAACTGCTTCAATTTGCATTTACAAGGAAGAAGTGAGGATGGAATTTGATATGCCTGTGCTGAATGGTCAGAATTAGCAGCATCTGCATAATTATTTCTATGCTTTTTTTACATGGCTGTGCTGCAAGATAAAGTAGCACTGTGAAGAGTGATTTGAAATTTGAAAAGAAAGAATTGAAAAAAAAAAGACTCCCACCTGAAATCCATAGGCAGTCTTATTAAAGATCATGCTGTTTAGTCTTTCAGTAGACTTTAGAATTGATAAAAATATATGATTAGCTTTTACCCATTTTTTGTCCTATTTGAATTTGTTTGCCATAAAATTGTAAGAAGTTCTTTCTTTTGCACTGTGTTTCTTGCTATTAGAGGAACTGATGATGGACTAGGAGCAAGACTTGAGAGCAGGCCTATGAAAATACTGCCACAGGCCAAAGTAAAAGTTAATGCTAAAGTCTTGTTCTTAGCAGCTTGTGCAGTTTCTCTGTTCCACCCAGAGTAAGGCTTAATCCTTTGAGTTCTGAAAAATTTTTAGTGCTTTGAAAGTACATTTGACATAAAAGACTCACAGAATCACAGAATATGTCACATTGGAAGGGACCCACAAAGGTCATCAAGTCCAACCCTTAGCTCTGCATAGGACCATCCCTAAGAGTCACACCATCATTCAAACGCTTCTTGAGCTATGTCAGGCTTGGTGCTGTGACCACTTCCCTGGGGAGACTGTTTCAGCAAAGAACCTTTTTCTCATATCCAACCTAAACTTCCACTGACACCACTTCAGGCCATTTCCTCAGGTCCTGTCATTGGTCACCAGAGAGAAGAGATCAGAGTCTGACCCTCCTCTTCCTCTTAAGAGAAAGTTGTAGACTGTGATGAGGTCTCCCTTCAGTCTTCCCTTCTGCAGTGTGAACAAACGAAGTGACCTCAGTCTCGACTGAAACATAAAACATTTAGAGATATTTGTTTTCTAGGCAAATTCTTGCCATTCTGACCTCCAAATATCTCTTTGCCATACACTGGGAGATCGCTGTATCATAAGAGCATGATACATATTTACTTCATAAATATTTGGATGTTGCTATAATTGAAATGGTGGGAGTGATCTTTCTTGGTTTTGCTTTTTATATGTGTGCAGTGTCTACTTCACATGTGTAGCCTTTCAGATACTTGATTTAAATATAATGAATAGCTTGCACAGCATATATATATGCAAATAATATTTTCTAAAATTTAAGTTTTGCTTTTATCTTATAGGAAACATGAGTGGGACAAACATGGCACTTGTGCAGCCACACTTGAGGTCCTCAATTCTCAGAAAAAATACTTTGGTAAAGCCTTAGAACTCTACCAGCATGTTGATCTCAAACAGTTTCTAAAAGTTTCAAGTCTAGCCTAAAATGAAAGTCTAAATCTGATGGCAGAAGGAAGATTACTGTAAATTATTTTTAATATTGACATTCAGAAGAAGGGTTGTGTACTCTGAGAAGCATGTCTCTGGTCATATCAGAGTCTGGTAAACCAACACTGTCTTCACAGCATCATTGTAGACAGTGTGAGCCAGTAGATTTTTGAGAAGCTGTGTTGGCTATATCTCTCTACCAAAAGCTGAGGTACCTGTAAAATTCTAAATTAAGTGACGAAGCTGCCCACACTTCTGAGTCATACTGAGGCCCAAACACTTGTTTTTAAGACAGTGCTCTGCTCAGAGAAAAGCTGCAGGCAAAATTGTGCAGAACATCCTGGGAAAAGGCTGAGAGGTGACAGCAAGACAGGATGTTCTGAAGGGCAGTGTTCAGCTGCTGCAAGCAGCCCTCTGCTGTCCTTTCCAACAACCCCGATATGACACTCCCTTTGTCCTAGGGACTGATTCCTCCTCATGGTTCCAAAGTACTGGCCATTCCGGATTCAAAATCTTGATAGGGAATGTTGTGGCTTGTCCAAGCACTGTAGGTATGCATTCTGACTGCAGGTGAATGCCAGAAAGAGTCCTTTCCCAATCAGTGCTTGGTGTGGATGAGAGAATGTTTGACTTAAATTTTTTGGTCATGGATTGTCTATCTGTATTAGTAGACAGTATCTGAGAGAGGAAATTGTTTTGTATCTAAAAACATACCTTAAAAAAAAGCCCAACAAAACAACCCAACAAAAGGGAAAAATCCTGTTTATGTTCTGTCAGTATCTTGTCCAAGAAATCTCCTAATCAAAGTCTCATTTAGTTTGCATATGCACAAAGGAAATGTCTTTCTTCCCTCCTGCCTCCATTTTTGTAGGTGTGTTTTAAAAGCAGATTTCTGTAGACATGGTGCTTAAGAGCATGTCATATGTAGTGTTAAAATTAATAATGTCTGATAAGCCAATTGCCTAAGTAGCTGTGATGGTGTGACTAAAACATGTACAGATGGTACAGTGACCGTTTATTTGACTCTGCATCAGCATGTGCAACATTGCAAAAGAATAGAGACTGAAGCATGTTGAAATTAATTGCTCAGAGTTTATTATCCATTGTAAAAATTAATATAATTAATGTTATCTTTACTGAAAAGAATGAAGACTGTCAGTGTTCTCACTGTATTTCATTTATACTTAAATGAGAAAATTTAATGTTAATGATTTAAAAAATTGTTTCCTAAAAGCAAATTATTAAAAAGAGGACATCATGCAGAGTTCTGTAAGAATTAACAGAACACTGTCTATTTTATTGACCTCCTTATATCCAGTGTAAAATGACTATGTAAAGCAGCTTCTCCTTTCATCTGTTGACTAAAGTCTTCCCTGTGCTGAACCTGACCTTGGAAGGATTGAGCATTATCAGCACTTATGAATTAAATTCTGCAAGATACTGGCCATAGCCACTCCTTAGAGAAGAAGCTGGGACACAGAGACTCACCACATGTTGGGTCCTGACTCTTGTCAGCTTGGAAATGTGGACTCCTCTCAGGACTGAATCCAAAGGAAGGTGTATCCAGGCTAGAGGTTCTTGAGTGTTACCTCGTTTCTCTTATGTGAACAACTTTTCTTTTCAAAGACATATTTATTAGGAATCATTTCTGCCCTGACAATAATGTTGATCCAGATTCACCCACTGTATCCTTCTCCCAGCGTGCTCTGTGCCTCCCACCCCAGCAAGCCCACCCAGTGTTCAATTATGAGAGCGCCCAGAGCAGCCTCACGAGTCTGCCTCTGTCTCCTCCTGGTGGCAGGAACACAGAGTTGTTTCAAGGCAAGGGAAAGGAGGCAATTAAACTGCATGCCCTACCTGGCACTGAATGGAGCACTGTGCAAGTCCCTTTCCCCTAGTGATACCTGAAGGCTCAGCTATCCCAGCTCCTCAGATTCAGGCGGGTGAGAGGGTTCTTCCTGACCCTACTGAGTTAGATGGGAAATGGCCCTTTAGAAAAGGGGAACATTTCCTAGGCCTGGCAAAGAATGGAAGACAAGTTGCCCTTGTTCCCCATCACTGTAATGCCAAATTCTCCTTGAGATTATCTGATTTACCTAATGATTATGAAGGTATGTTTGCAGGAAACATGGAAAAATGTTTTATCTTTGTTTCAGTTGTCTCTTGAAAGCTGGGATAAAGCCAAGCAGTTCGTATTACAAGGTAAGAGATGATCTTTTACAAAACAAAATCACGTGCATGCACTTTTTTCAGCAGGAGTCAACTAATTTCTATAGAACAAGTGATCTTTCTAAAATTGGATTGTTTTTTAAGGTTGTGCTTTTTCTAAAAGTTTGTGTGAGCTTAGCAGGTGTGGGAGCTGTTGGAAGATGTGCTTGTGACATTAGTCTCTATAAGCTTTTTAATTTTTCAGATGACTGCCATAAAGGAAGCTCTTACAAGGTTTTATGGTGTAATGCCCAAGATCCAATGCCTTCCTCCAGAAGAGGTAAAAAACCCAAACAAACAAACACTCCCTAAACTTTCCAAAATGGAAAAAAAAAAAACAAAAAAAAATTTTAAAGCATTTTTATTAAAAGGAAAAAGGCAAAAATAGAGTACAAAAAATCTTCAGTATGGTGAAATTTAGGTCTAGGTGTTCCTTGTGTATGCATCTCTTTGCAGTTTAGATATTGCTTGATTCTTGGAGTTGAGTTTATAAAAACATTGCTTACATACTGGCACCACTGAGTTCAATTTATGTTATTGTTACCACAGTCTTAATGCAGAAATATTGTTACTGCAGGAAGTGTCCATTCTTTACCTACTACCTTTGCTCCCAGAAAGTGGGAGCACTGGGTTTTAAAGGTCTCTTTGTCTTAAAAGACTTAGACATCTCTTGTGTGAATGCTGAAACCACCATGCTAGAGGTGTTGCTGTAGCTAAGCACTTTTCACTCCCCCTGCTAAAGCTTAATAGCAAATTACTAAAGCCAACAAGAGTGAGTTACTTGAAGCAACAAAGGAATATTAGTTGAATATCACCCACCTATTGATGTTAAAGAAATACAGAGCTAATGCCAAGCCCAGTTTCTAGCTCTGTTCACTGTAGTTCTGCCATTGCTTTTAGTACAGTTGGGATACTGCCCCAATTATGTGAAAGTAATTTACAGCTTGGGTCTCCTGTGCTTAACAGCTGAAGGTAATGGGTAAGAGAAATTTAAAAGTACGTCCCAGTTATTTAAAGATAATCCTTTTCAGAGTTTCAGCCTTGTCCATGCCTGAAGTGCAGGATGGAGGCACTTTGATGTTTGAAACATATTGCACCCTTGCTGTTCTTGAGTTTCTTAAAAAAAAAAAAAAAAACAAAAAAACCCACAAAAACCCTCCAAAACAAGCAAACCCACCCAACAACACTACCCCAAACTAACAACAAAAAAACCCTCACCACGGTTGGTTTTATCTTGTACATATGTTTTGTCCTGCTTAGTTGTTTCAAAACCAGTCTTTTTCCACATAATCTTTGTTAGACCTGAGCATTTAGGGGGATTTTAATGTAATCTTTTTGCCACATGAGAGGCCGCTGTGCCTGCCTGCTTTATTCATGGACAATATTTTTCTTCCTAGCCTGTTCTTTAGTCCAAAAATTACATTTCTGCTCCTTTTGACAGCTTGCTTTTGTATTCTTTTCAGTAAAAGCTATTATAAAATTGAGTTTCTTTTCTCACTTTTGGAGAATTTTATTTCTTTCAATTCTTGTCCTGCTATGTACCCTTCAATATTCACAGAGTTCAACCAGAACTCATCATTAAGGTGAATAGCTTCTCTGCACTTCTCCCCATAAAGCTGATCTTATCCCTCATGTTTCTAGGGTGAAGAAGCACAGACAATTGGCCAGATTGAATTCTGCTTCACCAAAGAACTGCAACTGAGAAACTGCACAGCACTGAAGGGTGGATCCAACGCAATGCAGGCTCCCTTGAAGCTTGGAACTGAGGAGTTGTCTGTCTGCAATGATACTCTCCCAACCTATTATCCTTCAGAGGTCCAAGATCACAAATGAAGCCATATGAGTTTGAAAACCTTTTTAAACAGCAACAAAAAATTGTAATTATTGTAATATTACAACCCCCTGTCCATATCACAGGCATACTGTGAAGATTTCTGCTGGAAAACACAGTTCTTTTGCCATTAAAGGAGAATGGTCGACATGACGGGATCGGAATCTGATTTATAACTTTGTCTGGCTTTTTTTGCCTGCTTATGGTTTGAATCAATGTTCAAAAGAGAACTGTGACTTAATTTCTCTTGCAGTTGAGTCTGCCACTTAAGCCACTTTTGGTTTTTACGAGTGAGTCAGGGAAATTATGTAATTCTTTGTTTTGAAAGGATGATTGTCTCTCTGAGATGAGATGACAATTGCTTGAGAAGAAAGTACTGTAAACAAAAAGAACTTTGAGACCTGTCTGGAGGTCCATTCCCAGACATAATACCTGCTGCCTTGCATAAATTTGCTCTCCAGAAGTGCAGAACAGAGACACTGTCCTCTGAGGTGTTAAACCTTTCCTCACTCAGGGATCACAGCTGACCAAAGACAACTTTCATATAACTTCTTAGTGAAGTTCTCCAGGGTTGGGCTTTTCTGCCTGAAAGACCCCAGGAAGACTGTATTTGTAGCCTTACCTATTCTTTGATTATTGTTGCAAAGTAGCTCCATACAGTCTTGAGGAACAACTGATCTTAGAACTTAATGCTAGTATAGGAAAATTTTAGGCCCTAGAAATGTGTTGTTATTAATTTTTTGTTGTATTTGAACATTTAGCATTATACACAAGTGTGAATGTCTGCACTTCTATATAAAACTGAGATTGTCGTGTAGTCACTTTATTCCAAGAAAGAGCTTTTTATAGTTTAAACAATAAATGCTACAGGATTTTCAGTAAAAAGTGCAAATGTTTGCAATAGTACATCTGTACTCCATAATAATCAGTAACATGACACAAAGTTGGATGTTTCCAAAGGGGACCAAACTTCGATGACGTCCTCTACACAGTGCTGTGTTGTTCTGTGTGTCTCAAATTGTCTTTCAGAGAAAGACACTTATGGCTCAGGGAACCATCTGTTAGAAGAATATTACTGTGAAAACATGAAATGCAGTCTTAGAAAGAAATTTGCTATTTTTGGGGGGTTTAGAAACTATTCATGTTTACTTTCATTTTTTACTGTCACCATTTCTCTACCACATTTCATTTAACTCTATTACCTTCCCATTACAGAATGCTGTCAGTTTTTTAGTCCTTTGTTCTTGCAGTATAAAATATATTTTCTTTTATAATGCCAAATAATGCCTAGGGAGATAAAATGTACAGTATGAGTTCTCTGCAGTTGAAGTGTAGTGCATTAATTTAAATTGAGGAAAGCCAGTAACTTCAGGGACAGACTTTAAAAGGAAGTGACACAGATGCTAACAGCCTGCACAGTGAGAGGCTCAAAGGTAAAGCTGATTCTTGCCAAAGGGAGTCAGCAGATTCACACAACACTCAGAAATGACCAACCTCTGCAGCAGAGTAGATAGTATGGCTTCCATGCATTTTTTTTTTAGCCTTATTTTCAAATGCAAGAAATGTGAGGGAACTGATAAGTTTTAAAACTTTGAGGAGAAAAGAACATAATCCAAAATGAGGGAGGGAGACACCATGCTAAACAGCAGCCTGAAACTGAGTAAGTGACTGATGAAAAGTAAGGGTTGGCTAAAAATAACCTCACAGACTCTAAAGTTCTGTTTAAAGGGACATACCTAAAGTACTGCATTTGCCTTAAAAAACCCACACCCACATACTTTTTATTTTGCCAACATTAATTACACATAAAATATTTAAATTTGCTATGGTTAATTTATTAGTAGTAGCAGTAAAATGCTATATATGACTATCATTGCTTGGTTTTTGACAATCTCACCACCCTAACTTCTAGGAAGATGTAAATGTCTTTTAAAAGCTACTGATTGATTTTTTTATACAGGGATGTGCCGAGACACTATAATGTTTCATGTGATGTATTTAAGGAATGCTTCAAGGGCTATGTCTGTATGTGGGCAACCAGGAGAGCAGATGAATGAATCCTAATACCACTTCAGACCAAAGATCATGTCCAGCCCTTTACGTTCTCTCTAGCAATGGCTCACAGCCAGTTACAAGCCTTAAATACAAGAAGTAAACAAAGTTATGTTGGGAGCCTTAAAAATCACTTCAGTTCTGAAAAGTGTCATTCACTTCCTTAAATAATGTTGTCAGACTTGAAAATTCAACACAGCCTGGGGGTGATGGGGCCTATATTCTTTTCTGCATCATTAAATAAATTGACTAAATTTCAGCAGAAAGGTTGTTCGTGCAGTCTTGGTGGTTTAAAACACTAGTCAACTCCACAATAGGACTTAGCTTGTTTATACCCTTTGTCCATCTGCTCTCTCATGCAAAATATTAAGCATCCCTTGGCATGTAGATTAGAGGATTCCAAGGACAGCTCCTCTTGCTGGAGCTTGGGCAGGTTCTTTTCTCTGTTCTCTCTGTCCTCATGGCCTCACTGAGCCTTTCTCAGCTGCACAGGAGCTTCAGCCAAGTTAAGGTGGGGGGGAAACAACTGGAAAATTCAGCTTCTACTGAGTTTCATTAGGTAGCTACCCACATGCATGTATATTGTGCTTAAGGGCACATCTGTCTCTCCCTACCAGCAGCCACCTCATCTGCCACTGCCAGCTGCAACAGGAGATGGGAGAAGCATGGGGGACTTCTCCCCATCACTCCTGCTCTGAGGGCAGCAACTGGTTGCTGTTGCCAAGCTGATAGACAAAGCTACCTCTGCAGGCTGAAATAGAGGTGGCACAGGCCTCCAGCTGTGTCCCTGTTCTGCACTCTCAGTGGCTGGAGAGTGCTGGGCTATGCTGCTGGCCCCAGCTGCTGCCCATCGGAAGGAAGAAAGTGGTGGCAGGATTGCAGTGCCCACTCAGCACGTCAGTACACTGCAAATCAAGTTCCACAAATGGGGACAGGCCAGGTATCTACAGCATCATGTGCTTTTCTTTTACAGTGGGGAAGGAACAGGTTCTTGAATTTGGGCACCTCTATTCTGGTGTGGTGGTGCTTCAGTCAGCCATGTTCTGGATCTGGCTCTAAGCACCATTAAGCCAAGGCTGTAGAAGGTTAATGATGCTGCTAGCAGTGTTATTGATGCCTGGTGATGGTACCGATGATGCAAAGGAAAATTGTCAGGACTTTGCAAGTCACTGTCCTAGGAATGGAGCAATCGATGATGAGGAATGTTGTACTTATTCTAAATTCAGATTGTCTTGCTGCCAAGGCAGCTTCCTTCACAAGGGTCACTGCATGCCTCCCATCCTTGTAAGTATTCCCTGCTCCACAAAGTTGCTCTAGATCACCCAGAGTTGATACAAATAATTTGTTTTAGAAGGGATTTAAATTTCTTGTGCTTTGAAGAGTAAGAGCTTTAGTATACAGGCTAAGTGAGAGCTGACGTGGGAGATGGGCAGAGTATTTTATGTTTGTGTGCTGTGATTTTCAGTATTCCTTACCCCAAAGTACCCTGGAGCATCAAAGACTGGACAAGGATTAGATGGACCTCAAGGGCAGCCAAGCCCAGCCATGCTCACAGATTGGTGGTACAAAATCTATCAATATACTCAGCATGAAAATCACAGCACTGACATTCATACACAATGCTCAGTCTGAAAGACTGGTATTTCAGTAATCTTCTATTAAAAAAAAGGCAAAAATTACCCCATTTGATAAGAATTTTAAGGTGGTGTCATAAAATTCTTAAGCAAGCTGAAGCATACCAGGGTGCTAGCTATAAGAAATACTTTTCTGAGTACAGCCTCATCTACCAGAGAAGAGGCTGTTCACTTAAGTTTTTTCTATAACTCACACAATTGTTTGCGTTAGAGACCCATCTGCACATAAATCACAGGAGATGAGCCAAAACAAAATTAGCAAGAGCTAAGAGCACAGCAGTTACCTTGTAATTACAATCTCTATAAACAAGCATGATGCATCCCAGCGGTTACCCGACATTAGATCACTTACTTCTGCTTAGTATTGTTGAGTAAGGCTTCCTGCTGTCAGCCTTGAAGAGGCTTTTGTCTTTCCAAAGTACTCAGCTGAGGGTGGAGAAGCTGCACATACTTGTAGCAGAGATTGGAAGAGCTGTCATGTCACCTGACTGCTGTCATTTTAGCCCATCAGCCTCCACAGATCCAACTCCCTTACCGAGATTTCACAGGTTATGATCATGTTTAGATGACTTGCACTATCAGTTTCCAGTCCCAGCTGTTGTGGGCTTGTGTTGAAAAGAACATTGTGAAGGGGCTGTCCTACCTCATAAACCATGATTTGCAGATATTTGCCAAATGCCTGGGGTATGCATTTGTCAAGGATTTATTAGCTAGGAGGCTGGCTGACTGATGCGTGAAGTGAGAACCACTTTGTTGTCTTCCAGGCTCTCAGGTGTTATAGGCTTAGAATATTGTTATCCTACTGAGGCAGTTGTTTTATACATAAGTCAGCTTGCCCTGACTTATTTTTTATCCTTCAGCCCCTGGATATCTTCAGAGATTTCAGTCTTGCAGTTTCTGTGGGATTCAGTGAGCAGCTTGTCATTTCTGAAGCCTACTGCATGATAATCACTGTAACAAAATAGCTCTGGGATGCAAACTATCCTCTCATCTATAATACCTCATGCTGTTTTCTCTTTGATTCCCTTCATTATCCTCAGTGACTTGAGGGATGAATGGACCGGCTCTTTGATTTCAAAGGTTAACCAAACTATTTACGCATAGATATTGTACCCCTCTATGATTTTGAGGGATTCTGACTGCAATGATCACTGGAGGTCTGGAGGAAAGTAGGCGTATTGAGGGACAGCTTTTAATCTTTTATGCCTTCGGCACCTTTTTTTTGGCCTATCTGGCTGATTAACAGGCTTGCTGTCACACTCACGCCTGTCCAAGAACAATGTCTCAAACTTATTAAATCAGTCATTAAATGAGTCTGGGGCCTCCACAATTACTTAAACAGAAATATGGCACGGATAGGTTGGTCTGTCTGGCAGACGGGAGAACAGGGAAATCGGGGTATGTTTTCTTAGCTCTGCAACTATCCTGCAAGTGAAATTCAACTTGAAATCTGATGACAATTTTAAGTCCCACACAAATTAAGACTTCCATGCACTTGTTGTCTGCAGAGGGGCATTTCATCCTTCCTAGCCCTGGACAAGTAATTAAAGTCTAAATGCTTAAAAATATCATGGCTTTTGGAGATAATTAGAACATTTGGTCCCTATGGTGGAAATAAAACCCTGGTTTAAGCAGCTGAGCTCCATGTGCTTACATGGTGGGAACTACGTGGCACTGCAGAGAGATGGCTAATGCAATAGCTGGACTGTTTTAAATCCATCTTTTTTCCAGGTTGGTTAGGGGGGATGTCTGGCTGCTCTGGTGCAACCCTCCCTAAGCCTTTTGAGATAAACCAGGTATGGCATTCCTGGCAGGAGCCCAACAGCACTGGTTAGTGTAAACATGCGCTGCTGAGTCATATGGCACAGTCACGCTCTTCCAGTCACCCTGGAGAGGTTTCTGGTCCTACAGAAGGCCTCTGGAGAAAATGCTGAAGCAGGTTTTGTAGCAGAAATGAGGGGGACTTTATGATTTCCATGCCTAAATTCCCTCAAATCTCACAAGAAGCATACGTGCTTTTTCACATCCATCTCTTAAAATTTGATAAGCAGTGTTCTGCACGTTTTCCCCTTCTCCAGATGAATCCTGCTGGAAGCCACTAGTGGTCAGTGGCGGCAATTTTAATTACTGGCAGCTTATTTTACAAGACACCAAGAGCCAGACAGAGCTAATTCCATAATCCTGAAATATAAATAATATATTACCTAATAGAGATTCTGAAGTCCCTTCAGGCTTGCAAATCAGCGAGTTAATAATTTTTTGGTTTAGATGTACTGAACACTGTAATAACCTGATGTCATTTTGAACACAGCAATTAAGTATTCAGTTTACAAGACAAATGGAGACTCATTACAGTCAATCAGGGAGAATTACACAAACTTAAATTGCTGGTATTTATCACAGTTTCTCAAAAGTATATTTTATTAGCTATTTTGAAAGAAAAAGCTGCTGCTCGGTTATTCTGTAAAAGTACTGCCTTCTTTATAAAGAACTTCTAATGAGATCATTTTCCAATCCTAATGTTTTATGGTAATCGGATGGGATATGTCATCATAGGTCACCGTGAAATTAGAGGAAGCATGACAAATATATCTTATACTGGCAATTTCTTAGCAATTTATGTTAGGTTTTTACCTTTGTGATGACTAGAATGAGAGAAAACATTATTCTAGATAATAGCAATAGGAATTGATTCAGAAGCCAGTGACTTCCACTACACTGGACAGAACAAAAACTCCCACAAACAAACAAACAAACAAACAAACAAAAAGGAAGAAATAGTAAGATTTTATATGCTTCGTTTGTCATGTTTGCTTAATTTGGAAAATGCTAGGAATTTTCCAGTACTTTGGAGCTCAGTAACATAAGTAATACAAAGAGCACTCTGTTAAGTACACAACACACAGATTCAATTATTTATGATTGAAATTTTTAATGATTTTCATTCCACCCATCTCTGTAAGCTTTGTACTATATTTATCTTTTTTACAAGATTGACTAAGCTGTAATAAAGCTGCTAAAAGCCAATTACCAATTGGGGTAATTCTAATAGTTTGTAGCAGAGGAATTAGAATAAAATTATTTCCGTTTAGCCAAGGATTTCAGATGAAATAGCAAGTAGCACCGAGACTAGATTTAGAGAAAGAAACCAGGCTGAGGCTGCTTTTCAGAAACTTACTTAACAATTTTTCTCCCTTAATTTCTTTACAGCACAGGAGCCCACTGGTATTGGCTCCACCTAGGAGGTCCTACTGCTTTAAGGTAAATTTTTAAGATCAGTTGAACAAATCACAGTTGGACTCTGTTAATCAATAACCTTTGCATCATGAATGACTTACAGTTAAGGACCTGTTTTAACTCTCTGCTTTTGGTAGCAGCATTTTTCTCTTCTAGGTTATTTGGCATTAATCATGTCTAGACTGAGATTTTGTG